GGTTTTTTTTTTTTTTTGGTTTGCCGCTTGATGGTGATGATCTTATGGCAGTGAGGGAGCGTCTGGAAACAACCTATTCTCCTTACCAGTTGGGTCCTGAAAGGAGATTTGTTGGGAAATTTAAAATATACATTAAGTATTTATAACCTTCCCATCTTTAATAATTGATATTCAACTCTTAATACATTTTTTTTCAACACACTTATTATCAATATGTGTAAATTTTAAATGCATCGTTACAGCATTTTTAAATTGATTGTTTTTTATATATTGAAATGGACGAAGTCTAGTATTTATAGTAAAAAAAATAGTTATACATGGTTTTTTAAACCATTCGAGATTTTTATTTTTTTATCTAAAAAAATTTCTAGCTTTGAATTTTCTTGATTCTCATCTAAATAAAAAGTTTTATAAATAAATTTATTTTTATAGCATGTTTTTTTAAAGTTTAGTTATATTTATAAAAAAATTGCTCTCCTAATTATCATAATCTAATAAAAATTTTAACTAACTAATTAAATATAGATTCTAATAAACTAGATTAGCACAAATTCTTTTTTCATCAAAGATTCCTAAATACTAGGGTTTTTATCCAACAAAACAGGGTGAATGAAGCGATAAACTAGCCTTTGCATGAACTTTATTATAAGCTCCTGGATGTTTCTTTTTCAAGGATGAATTTTCTTATTTTTTTTACTTAAACACGTTATGTAACCTATTTTTACTATGGTTTTTCTACAACATATCGCAAAGTAAAAATGACTTAGGATTATAACATATAATAAGTAATAACCCGAGATTGTTAAGCTTTAATACTAACTAATACAAATAAAAATATAAACAATAGAAAAATAATAAAAGAAACAAATTAATTGTTGAAATGGAGTAGAACACAAAGATCCTAATTTATTGTTTTATTGCTGAAGTGAGAACTCTATTGTTTTATTGCTGAAGTGAGAACTCTATTATGATATGTTTTTTTAAAAGGTTTACAACTTATTAAATAAATTAAAAAATCATCATAAACAAATTAGAAAAATAAAATTAGCAATGTCAACTCTTATTTTCCTAAACTAAATAGGAAAAGATAAAATTGCTATAAAAAAATATTTTCTTAAACTAAATAGAAAATAAAAATAACTAATAAAAATAAAAAGTAATTAATAAAAGATAAAAACTTGATCTCATTTGAACTATTGGATACATAAGAATAAGCAAAAATCTCTCCCTTAATTGTATTTTTTCTAAGAAAAATCATGCTCATAACATATATTATAAAATTTCCTCCCATCCATTTATCGAATTCTGATACTTTTACTTCATATTCTAATATTTAAAAATTTAATTTTGACAAACTCACCACTTAAATCTTTTTTTCGTAATCAATTTTTATATCCAAGTTTGAGCAATATTAACAAAAAAAAAAAAGATAGAAGGTAGACTTGATTATAAGTTCTTATATATCCAATACTTTTTTTTTAAAAAAAAAATCAGGTTCAAATCTCCATAAAAAATAATTAAAAAAAAAACTAAATCCCATCAGTGTTATATTATGTAGCAAGACTTAGTGTCCGTGGATTGCTACAATGCACTGATTATTTTGTCCTCCATATTTGTAGGGAGAGGACTGAGTTTTGGGGGCAAAATATATATCTTCACATAGTTCAATTGGCGTTACCAATCTATTTGGAAGTAAATTAATCTTTTTCATGTTTTGAATCATGTATTTCATTCCAAAATTTTCTAGCCACATTAACCAATTTCATAGGATATTTAATTAGTAATATCATAAGCTTTATTATGAATTCCAATTTAAATTCCATTTAATCTTGCTAAGATTTACTTAATTTTTATCTTTCTTGTTATTATTGTTGTTGCTGCTGCATAACCTGACTGACAGAGAATCAGACGCATGTAAACATCATGGAATGCTTTAGATAAAAACAACATCACTTTGCAATTAGCTAGCTGTTGGAAATTAAGGTTAAACATAGACGTTCAAAACTATTTTGACATTATAGATTGGTTAATTTGTTGAATGACATTCTCATTTTTGATACACAGCTGATAAACAGGAAGACAAAATCATTAAAAAAAAATACAAAACATGGAAATTACGAACAAATTAAACTCAGAAAACAATTACATTACACAAACAAAGTCTTTCAATAATTAGAATTGACTGAGTAGCATTTGGTTCGAATTTCACCTCCGTCTTGAACTGCAGGGACTAGAATATTGCCGAGCTTTGTCATCGACACTGCAAACTGGTGACTGAAGAAATCGGAAGGCGCATCAGCCAACGCATCAACAATTGGAGAAGTCCTTGAATCAGAATACAGCGATTGATCTGTGTGCAGAAGTCCCATCTTGTCTTGAAGATTCTTGTAGTAAACATTGTCAAAAGTCCGTGGGGTTGTAGCATCTAGATCAACGTACTCAGAGGCCCATCTGCATTTTCTTTTCAAGAAGTTCGCGTATCTATAATCAAGGGATTCATCTTGTCTACCGGTTCCTGCATAGTTGTACAGCCTATATTGTAGTGAACCGCATGTAGCCCTGCCAATTGTATGTGCCCCTGTCCAACACAAAACAGAGCATTAACTACATTTAATATAGATCCATATCCACATTTGGCTCTCAAGTTCTTAATTAAACACTAACAATAATGCTAATAATTCACCTGAGAGAGCCACCAAATCAAGGACATTCAAACCATTAGATTGGTAGAATTCAATCAGGGTAGTGATGTTTTCCCTGCCCATTGGCACCAATTCAGCATCCTTGTCATTAGAAACTTTCCCATCTTTCCTTCCATAGGGCACGTCCCAGTATGGACCGCCAAGAAGAACGGTAGCATCTCTAGAGGCTGCGGTAAGAATGTCAGCGCACGATACAGTTCTTGGGCACTCTTTCTCCATCTCAGCTTTGATAGCATCGATTACTTCAAACCCCCTAAGAGACTTGCTTGCCTCTGCTTTTCTCTCACTTCCCTCATGGTTCAACAGAATGGAGCCATCACAACCCTGTAAAGAACGATAAATAAATAAGCAATTAATTTTATGCCATTGAGGAAAGGTAGGGTTTAATTAAAATCACTTGTAACTACATATGTTGCTCGGATTTGGGTACGAGTATTGTACAGGGGTGCAAGACCGAAGGATATGGTTTACTAGATTTTTTTTTTTTTTACGTTGATTTGAGAATTGGAATGTATGAAGGTCTTTTGACAAGAGCATTTGAGCTAAAATATTCAAATAACAGATACTGTAAATATAGTAAAACAAAATAAATGTACAAACGAAGGAAACAGTTTGAAGGGATTCTTACGTGCACGGCACAGTCATGGAAGTGCAACCTCAGGAGACTCGCAGCAAGGGTTCGGTCCTCTTCAACCCACTTGGTCACGTGTTTATTAATGATGGATTCAGCTTTAGGACAGCTCTTGCTATAGTATCCAAAAGATAGCAGATCATCTGAAGGCAAGTTATCCAGCAGTGTTGGGATCTCCAATGAAGGTCCATGATAATCTTCTTCTTCTCCTTGGTCGTCATGTTGATCATTCTGTGCTGGCATTCTTTCTTTTTCATAATTTTTATCATACTTAGCTGGTCCCTTTTCTTGATCTTGGTATTGGCCCTCATAATCTTGATCTTTCTGGACTGCTCCTTCGTAATTATCATGGTAGGCCGCACGTTCATATTTTCCGTCCTGGGCTGAGGCTAAAATCAAGGGAAGAACAAGGATGAGGAGAAAACCAAAGGAAATAGAGCTCTTCATTCCTCCTCCTCCTCCTCCTCCTCCTCCTTTTTATCTTTTCCTTATTGGGTTAAGCACACTATTTAGGACGAGAAGATAGAAACTTGAGCTTATTGGGTGTCATGCATAAAATTCTTAATTTATATGGCATGTATGCTAGTACTCTTCAAAATGATCATGTGATATTTTATTCGTTAGGTAGGGAACTACGTGAGAGGCACCCCCTCAAATAGGAGATGACTTGCTAGAATGTAGAGTTCAGAAACTCGGTCACTTTCATTTTTTTTCTTGAAAAAAAAACCGATGGACTTCAAAATGCTTGCATTGTTGCCTGCCTGTATCCCTGCGCCCAAGCTGGTAGTGGGGGTGCAATAATAAAAATAATTGACTTTTTTTGCACGATTTTATTATTCTACTTGGGTCAATGGCCTGTCATTAATGTACGGGTTGGTTTTATACTAGACCCATCACAGAGCAGTGGTCTAGGCCCAGTCCAACTGTAGATGCTTGTGTTGTTTCGGCTGCACCCCATCTTAGATGCAGTGACTTCCCAGCCAGCAATATCGAAGATAATTCTATCATTAGAAGAAGAACAACAAGAAGTAATCCAAAAAAAAGAAGTTAAATTAAAGGAAAAGAGCATAAATAAAATATAAAATTATAATGTAATCCATGTTAAAGAAAAAACTGTTAATTTGGTTCATCTAGTTTGAAAATTACAAGCTAATGCTATCATTTTTTTTTTTTCATTATTCCCACACCCCTTGCCCAAATAATCCAAACCGTTGGCTCTTTCTCATTCCGTCTCGATTTTACAGAGAAAAAGAAAATTACGAAAATCACCATCGCCACTCTCATCAATTGTCACTTGCAATACATGTTTAATTTCATGACAATCTAATTTCAATTATATTAAGTTAAGGTTCATTTTTTTTGTGCGAAAATCCTCGCTAATAGTGCACATTTTCCTCCAAAGATACAATGTGGTCCTTACAGCAAAAAAGTTTATATCATGCGGAAACCCTAAATTAGATTTCGAACAGTATAAAATTTTCAATATTGTCCCTCGAATTTTTTAACAAAGTTATCTCATCTGAAATGGTCAACAGTTTTAAAATGAAATTGTTGAGCTTTTTCATAAAGCAGTTGTCGCTTGTACTTTAAACAGAAAACATTCATGAATATTAATAAAAAGAACTCAATTTGAGGAATTTCTAAACTTTCAAGAACCCATTGGAGAGTTCCTAGTTGGGGGATCCAATTAAAAATGAATGAATAATATGGTCACAAATTTTCAGTTTGGAAACAACGTTGGGGAAAAATTTGAGTTTTCCTCTAAATTTTTTACTATTTGAACTTATCCCGCGCAACAAACTATCATTATAGGTGCAAAATCATAAAAAAAAATTCATTAGAAAAGTATAATGGTGATTTTACCTTCTTACTAAAAAAAACTTAACATTTACTTTAAAGGGTATTAAATTTTTTTCACATAGTTCATTTATTATTTTCAAATTAACCTGAACAAATAATTTTTTTTCATATTAAGTGCATAATAAAATAATTAAAATACTATTACAAGCAAAAAATTCAAACATGATGTGAAGAGATATTTTTGTATTTTCATAATAATTTTTTTATTATTATAATTTAAGTTGAGGGGAGATCAACTCAGGGTCAATTCTGTATTTTACTAGATAAAAAAAAATGAAAAAGATGAGTGCATATATATGATATCTAGGGGCATGTGGTAGAAGTCTACATACTTCAGACAGCATATGTTATGTCTTTTATATTAAAAATGCTTTTTGTAGTATCTTTGATAGCGTCAACGTGTCATCTTTTTATTGGTATGGTACATGTTAGTTTTAATAATTTCATTTATTATTGAAGGGCCTTTTCTTTTTTTTTTTTATTTCCTTTCTTGAAAATTATTATTTGATTTTTTTGTTATTGATATGTCAATCTTTGTCTTGTGCTGATGTTATTAATTATTTTATTTTTTTATATTTAATAAATTGTAAATCTATCTATTATTATTTTCATCTAATTAAATTAAAATTAGCTTATTTATCAATCAATTGGTTTAATAGCATGATTCACAAATATTTTTTATAACAATAACTAATCATCAATTTTTTGTGGGAAAAAAAGAAGAAGCTCGGCCCCTAGTTTTTCACTATTTGAACTTAGACTACATTAATAAACACACGCTTTCGTCCCTTTATCGTTTTCTTTTGTTGCCTCGTTCTAACTGAACTTTCCTAATCTTATCTTAAATTTCACTTCTCCAAACGGCAACTTTCAATTCTTTCAATTTTCAACTTCAATCATTGAACACAAAAGAAGCCGTCGACCAAATCAAGCGATTCCATCCTTGAAGTAGACTAGCCAGCTCGTCGAGCCCTACTTTAGCTTGGATTAACTCGATCCCAAATCTTTTTTGTTAATTGGCATGACAAGTACGAGAAAGTCTTCTAACTAGCTGCGTGAACGTGCACCGCGAAGAGTTGTGATTGTGACGTCATACTTATTACAATTACAAGTCCGTGTTCACGAACCAAATCGAATTGCTCTAAGTGGGAATCTTGTCCGATAATACTTTAACAACTAAAAGGAAGTTGGGAAGCTACCATTCTTCGAAACCCTTGAAAGTCACAAGGACTCGTCCAATGCTAGACCCATCATGTGAACTTCGGAATCCAAGCAAGCAGATCGATCAGTTCTGGGGACCAAAAGCTCCACGGACGAAGCCAAGGGGCACGTGAGCTTTAAGTCAGAAATTAGATTGTACTCACGAACTAGACAAGATAAAAAACATATATATATATATATATATATTTCTACGCATGCTGTACGTTTAGGCTAGTTGTTCTAGTCATTCAGTTTTGACAATGTGGATGTTTTCTTCGGAAATTTGGTCTGAAATTACCTTTCAAATTCAAAGATCAATGCATCCCTGTTCGTGGGATAGCGACCCTTGGATACATGGCCCGTGACAAGACCTGAACTATACGGGGATCTGACAAGTACTACTAGTGGCAGGGAAATGCGATTGAAAAAGACCTTCTGGGAATTTTTATATTCTTTTGCTTTAATTAAACAAGTCTCGACTCCAAATTAGTTCAAATCGGTTGTCCTGATTGCTTTCGATATCATGCACGATCATATATATATATATATACACACCGAATGGGAGTGTTTTTGGTAAGTGTACAAAAAACAAATTATTTTGTAAAGTACTACACGTGGAAAAATATGTAGGGATACAGTGCATCAAATTGTATGGATATCTCAAAAAATATAATTAGATCAGTGTAATGAAATAGCGTGTAATTAATAAATACTCTTTCATATAAATATTTATATCAATTATTAGATCTCATTTCTCAAAGACATGATCTCCTATAACTGTTTAGAAATCAATGTAGGATGTATGAATTATTAACCAGTTTTTTTTTACTTTTTTTTTAATGATTAATATTATACAACTCCTCTCAAATACCAAAAGATAAAGGCATATGGTATTTTTTGATGGGAAACAAGTCAACAATTAAACTTTTTAAAAATCTAATTCTATATGGTAGAATAAAACATAATAATGTAAAGTTTTGCTTCTCAAGAGATCTCATAGTTGATGAAATATAAAAGTGAAGAAGAAGCCCCTGATATATTCATCAAATTTTTTATATTAAAGTTATTCGTGATACTTGGAAGATTATTTAGTGTGTGTACTTAAAGAATATCTTGTCTAGAGAAGAGTATTTCATTGCTAGACTGGTGTTCAGAACATCAGTTTAAAGGAGGAATTCTTGAGATATTAAAAAATCTTGATCTAAATAAAAATTCTTGATAAAAAAGAATTTATGTTTATAATATTTAATTAATTAATTAATTAAAATCTTTATAGAATTATAATAATTTAAGCTTGTAATCTTTCTATTTATAAATATAAAAGTTTTAAGAAATCCTAGTCTAAATAGAAATTTTCATTGCTAAACTGAGTAGCAATTGAATGTTCAAAAACATCAGTTTAAAGGAGAGATTATTGAGATATTAAAAAATTCTAATCTAAATAAAAATCATTGATCAAAAAGAATTTCTATTTAGAATATTTATTTAACTGATTAACTATAATCTTTATTGAATTATAATAATTTAAGCTTGCAATATTTCTATAAATATAAAATTTGTGACCAATATATTAATAATTGTTAAGAAAATTAAATATCTGCGTGTCTAGTTTTTTTTTAATAATTGCTATAGAACATTTCAACAAATTAATATTTGTTTTTCCTCAGGCTACAGTGATTTCATATAAAATATTTTTCTCCTTTCTCATATTTTATTTATTTAGGAAAATTTAACCAATATGAAATGTTTTATATTAAAAGGAAAAACAAACTTAAAACAATAGAAAATAACTGACCGTTCTTAAAAGATAAAAATATTTTTAAAAAATTAGTTTTGTTAGTAAACCATAGACTCCACCAGTAATTAATTATTGCTGTTTTCTTTTCAAAGCATATTCTTTATACATGCCAAACACCAAAAATATTTATTATCATAATCAAATATAAAAAAATAAAATATTTTCTAAAAGATTTCGAGTGTCTTTTAAAGTGCCCTTTCTTTTTCAAAAATTATAATTTAAAAACAATGTTAATTTTATATGTTTTAAACGGTTTTAATACGAGAACACAAAATCATTAAAAATCACTTAAATAAACATGAATTCAGTGACTTTTCATAGAAAAATTACTTTCAAAATTCATTTTAACTTAGAAAGTTGAGATCACTTAATTTGAAGTCCGCAACTCATTCATTTTTATAAGAAATACATTTGTCTCATTCTCTTGGACGTAGCATCCTGTGTTTGATCAATTTGAACATAATCAATCTTGCGCTTGCCACATGTGATATGATTCTGGCAAAATATAACATAAGGCAAATAATACTATACTATAATATATTTTATCTTATCTTATTTTATATACACCACTCTTTAATTAAGGAATTTGTTAACCTACAAAAAATACAATATA